AAAAGTTCAATAAAAGCCTGAGAGAGCCACTGAGGGCTCCAAGACTCTCCTTTACCCTGCCTGCATGGAATTACCCCACCTGCATGGAATCATGGAAAACCTGCACTGTGCCCTTCCTAGCGCTACACATATTCTAATGCAGTGATCAGCCTGTGGGGTGAAATTTTTCCTTTCCTTGAACTTATTTTTGTAAATAAAATTTTATTGGAACACACACACCAAAAAAAGTGGTGAAGATGGTAAATATTATGTTATATGGATTCTACCACAATTCAAAAACAAACAAGAAGTCTGCCTACCACACATGTTATGAGATTCTGGGTTTTGTTTAAATCCTGTGGAGAATGTCAATATGTTTTTAGCAGGCATTAGAATTAGCTGAGTGCCAGCTACAAGTTCCAACAGCCTCCTGTGGGTCTTAGCCCCGTGTCACTTCAGTTTTCAAAATCTTCCAAGCACTGTTTGGATTTGTCCCATGTGAGCACCACCCAGTAGCCAGTCAGTGCCATAGAGCATGAATCCATGCACAGGTAACTTGGGGGTGAGCCAGGAATTCACCATTGTAAGGGGTACTTCCCCAAGAGCCTCCCTCTCTGCGATCTTCCTGAACCTTCCAACCTTGCCTTTTTGGTCCTCGGGTGGGAAAGCTGGTCACCGTATACTTCCTGTGACTGTGCTTGGCTCCAGGATCTAGTGGTGGGAGGGCAGGTGGGGACAAAGAGCAAAAGGGGTTTCCCCATCCTCTTGGGGTTGCCTCTCCTCTGAGGCAGGGGACAGCTTCCTCTGCAGGGTTCTGGTGCCTGAACTGTCCTGTTGCCGTGGCTGCTGCTGCTCTGGGCACAAAATCCGTGCACTTGAAACAGGCACAAGAAAATGGAGAAAAAAGGAAGATGAAGGGAATTCCTCCCACTATCCCTGAAGAGTCACTGTTTTCTCTCCAAATCCTTGGTAGGAGGGCTTCTCCTGCACATCTTTCAGGCCAGACCTGATTCCTACTCATAGATTTCAGGTGTCAGTGACACCAGGCTAGGCAGGAGTGGCCGGAGGGAAAACCTCCACGTAAGGTCAGTGAGGGATCCTCTTGCTCCTGGTCTTCCTCACTGTTCCTGCTGCAGTTTGCTTTTCAGGACTCTCAAGCCGCCCGTGCGCGCACTCTGTCCAGAGGTGATGGTTGCCTACTTGGCCTGCTCTAAGACTGGCTCTGACCTCAGCATTGAACAAAGAGAGGGCTGCTTCACCCACCCCCACTCCACAGTCTCACCCCCATTTATTCTATTCATGAGCATTGATCACCCACTCCAAACCGCCAATTCTGAGGGCTGGAGAAACAGCCATTTTTAAGGTGTGCAGGACGCACTTCCCACATGAGGCACGGCTCCATTCATTTCCCCCATCTCCTGGCGTCCCCCTTGCTGTTTGTGCTCACAGAAGACCTATGGAAGCCAATGGGGTTTTGTAGCTTCCTTAGGGGGCAAGTCTGCATGTGAGCCTGACACCACACTCAAGTGTAGCTCAGTGGGTAAGGCTGAAGTCTTTGGAAAGAGTCAGATTTTCAAACACACAGGTTTGTGGTTTTTGAAAGAACAGAAAGCATAAAGCATAAAATCTTGCAGGATTACTTTCTGCTGAAGGCCAATTGATGTGACATCTGAAAATAATCAAATAAGTGTCTCGTTTTCAGCCTGCAAATGACTTTGTGAAACTTTGGAAGGAAATTCTCCACTTAAGAGAAAAACAGGGAAGATAGAAATTGAGATCATGGGGAAGAACTGAGATGGGGAGTTATTAGAGTGCTTTGAATTGTTAATAGCATTTATATTTGTAAAAATGAATCTCTCTAAAAACCTGGAAGTGGCCTAATAATTTTAAATCACCACACACAGCACATGTCCAAAACCCTGATAACCTCCAAACACAATTGCTTATGACCATTTTTTGGAGCATTCCAAAAACATTAGTTGCTGCACAGTGCAAAGAAATATGAATGTAAAATTATTGAAGACTTTGATTTTTTTCCTATTAAACTCCTACATTTGGAAAGAAGTAAAGGTGCTGTCTACGCCCAGAGGACCAAAATATATTGAGCTGGGTTTTTTTAAAATGGTATCAGCCAAGAAAACAGAAATTGAACTGAGCATTATGATGAAGACAATAATAAGGGCAAAGAAAAGGCTGAAGATGGCATGCAAAAAATTTGCAAGTCGAACAAGAGGCTGTACCTAAAGATGAAAATCTGGAGGCTGAGGTAAGACAAATTAAGGTAGGTTGGTGAGGGTAATCTGAGGCACGTGAAATGAGCTGTCATCAAATCCTGGGCTCAGGCAAGGGGAAACTGGAGTAAAGAGACTTCCCACTGGCTTCAGTGGGGAAGGGGGTGCCTTGGCGCCCTTATAGCATTTCATTAATACACAAGTCAAGTGTTGCTAATACCCAGTATGAATGACAGACAGTTGTACTTTGCAAATTTCTGGTTTCTAATGATGCATTTGAGCTTTATTTTTTACAGCTGTCCTTGTCTTAATCCTTTACTTTTTTCTCCCTGGGGTTTAATGGTTTCTTGTTACATATCAGCATTTTAAGCAGCGTGTTGCCCGACAGGCAGCGCGTGGCTTCTGATGGGTATGGCAGTTGGGTCACTACTAGCTCTCTGGAAGGACAGGTGCTCCTGTGAACAGCACAGCAAACTCCGTCCTGTGACTGGAACTCGGGGTGCAGGTTCAGGGCACACGCTAGAAATCTAACCAAAAGCCTTTTGCAAACAGCAGCTCAATGAGGATTCCTGCCATGAGGCAAAATGCTTGGAAAGTTTCTATACGCTGGCATCACTGGGTTTGGGGTCAGCATGCTGAAACCGGCCTCATTATGTTCCTACCATGCCAACTTGGTGCAATTAGCCTAACACGTTAATTTCCCGAAGCCATATGTTGATCTTTAGGGGAGGGAAGGCTTGTATCTCTGATGGCTCTGAATTCTGACTGGCATGTCCCAGCTTCAAGCCTATTCCTGTGAATCAAGATAACACACACAGCCATCAACGATGAGGCAGGACAGCCAGCCTGGAGAGAAGCAGGAAGCTTAACAGCAGGCCTGTGTACTTGTTGAGTGTTGCAGCGAATTGGTTTTCTTTTCTTTTTTTCCAAGGAAGCTTTCAGAGCTAGGTCAAGGGAGCACCATTGTGTAAGGCTGTCCATCCCGCCTCCTCCCCCAAATGAAATCAATGGAAGGACCTAGAACATAGTAAGTTATGTTCCAGGGCTACATGGCCTGTTTTCCCATTAGAGACCTATCAATGTGAACCAGCACTGTTGGGAAGTCTCCTCAGCTCCCCCCTGTTAATCAATACCTCTGTTCATTATATGTCTCTGATGAATATGGGTAATGATTGGGTACTTGAGAGTCAGGTGACTAAAAATAACCATGCCTCACTGAGGATCGATAGATTCCCCCGCCCCCCAGTATGACTTCAGGCAATTCAATATTCTCAGCTGCCCGTCCTGAGCCCCCACCAATGTGATCCTCTCTGGTTTTCATTGATAGGTTAGCTTTGTCCTCAGAGCAGCTTTATTAAATTAGTAGCACTTAATCTACTGTCATATTGTCAACTGACACAGGCAAACTAGCAGACAGCAAGTCTTCCAGTGGCTTGGGAGAGGGACTGGCTGCAGCCCAGGCAGTTTTGTTTAGCCTTGTGCCAAGAGCTGTCTTCATGGGTGCCTCTTTGCTAAACAGGAGGTTTTCCACCATTTAATAACATTTAAAACAACTTTTTTTTTTTCCTAAGAAGAAGGAGCTGTTTGAGGGAGAATTCTTGCCAATTACAGACGTGTTATGACAGATGAAAAGATCATAATTATGCTTGGATTCCCTACAGAAGTGCGTTAACACATCCGTAATATTTAATAACCACATGCCTCAACAGAGGTTGACTTCCCCAAAGTCGTTTAACATTTCATTTCTTTACCCTCACCCCAAAATCCGTCTAGGGGTGTTTAAGGAAATCAGGGAGGCAGACCGCATTATGACTTGGTGACTGGCACCCCTGTTGTCTTGAGAAGAACCCTCAGTGACTGGTATCTGAAACTGGATCACTCCTTACTATGGGTCTGATAAGAGCTGGATGGGGATGAGCAGACCGCTGAGGCCCTTACTGGCCAGGGACCAGGGCCATGACATGAGTTGCCGTAGAGTGTGGGAGTGCATTTCCTGGAGTATAGGTCAGAGGAAACTGGAGAACTGGGTGGTACATGCTGGAGAGATTTGGGCAGATCTGATTGTAGGGATGAAGAATAGAAAATGTTAACTTGGAAGGGAGACTCCGGAAAAAGTTATAATCTCAGTTTGGCCAAATTTTCAGCTAGGAACGGATTCAGAGGTGGGGGTGATATTAAACAATGCCAAGGCAAAAGCACCTTCTCTGTACATTTTCCTTGTCCCTCAAGCACTATGACGGGAGGAAATGTCCCTGATTATGACATCTTTCCATCTGCTAGTTTTATTTCTAGATTATAACAAGCACAATCTGCAGAAAAACACTGCCAGGAGAATATAAACTGAAACACAAGCATTTAGTCTGAAAAAATATATAGTCATCATCCTGTTGGCTGCTGTCCACAAATTTCACAGGGTAAGGGAGGGAAGAGAATTTATTTGTAGAAAGCTAAGGTACAAAGATATCTAAGATCTTCTTTTGGTCTTCCATTTCTCAAAAGAGCTTGCGGAAAAGATATCTGGGAAAGAAACAGGCCAGACATCTCCATAGGGATCACTCTGGTGGGAAAGACTCGAGTTAGTGTCCGCTGGGCTCCTCTGGGAAGGGCTGCGCTCTCTGTAGCTCTGACTCAGCTTTGTCATCTGAGCAAGAGAGGAGTTTGTGCTGCCTAAGAAGTGCACTAAATGATAGCAGGATTCAGTCCAAATGGGAAGCTGACTCTGAATTATCCAAGTGTGCTTCGCTGGGGTGAATTACCCTGTTAGCTGAAGTGTTATGGGTGTATTTTGTAAAGGCCCACTGGAGTTTGTGGAGCTTCTTCAAATCAAGAAGGTAAGAAGAGATCAGTGACTGATAAATCTTTAATATAAAAATTGTACAAGAATTTTGATACAAATTACAAGAGGTATTTGGACAAAATATGAATAAAATTCCATTTACACCCCAAACCCTTATGCATTTTATGCAAAAGACATATTGTAGACAGTTATAGTACAGAAAATACAACAAAGGAAACAGCAAATAAAAATTTTTAATTCCCTTAGACTACTAATAAAAACAAACCGAAAAGCAAAACAAAACTGAAACAAAATCCTTGTTCAAGGTACATACAGTATTTATGAAGCTACCAACATCACAATGGTTAGATCAGGGATGCAAGCTGTCCCCGCCCCTGGTGCCACTCCCTTTGTGGTACAGACTTTGGTTCTGCGACAGGCTTAGCAGAAGAGACTGATTGGATGCAGATGAGAGCAATAGAAACAAAAAGAGCATAAGCCCCCGAACTCTGGGGGAGGGAGAGGGCATATCTTGGTGAAAATTCTTTTTCCTCAAGATATTTCAATTCCCTTTGGCCACTTTGGCTGTAAAACACGCAGGTTGAGTCAAATGTTTGTGTTAGACACATACCATTGGGTTTGGGTGAATCAGAAATTTAAGTGTTCACCCACCCACACGCGGGGTCTTGCTAATTCTGGAAGGAATAGACCGTGATCAGCAGCAGAGAACACAGAGGTTTCTTTCCCAGAGCTCTCACTTGCCTCCACCTCGGTTGGAAAGGCCCCGGGGCCTCCGACCAAAGTTTTCTGGTTTCTCAAGCTCTGCTGCCCCTCTGACCTCCAGGTACTCACGTCCAGCTCTCCTGCCCTTTTCTGACTGGACTGGTAGGAAAATGGTGAGATTTTTTTTTTTTTTTTCCGGGCAGCTGAACCAAAGTTTGCACAGGAAAGTGAGCACACCATATATTATAAATCTTAGATAGTCATATCGGGTTAATATATAATACTAGAAAAATCTCATTCACTTAATTCACGTTATGTAAACCCTGGACAGGGTAGAACACACAAATGTTTCCAAAGCGGTCAAAATCAGGATGAAGGAGGGAGTGTTCTACCTTCTTGCTTCAGAAAAAGATTGGTTTTTAAAGGGGTGTTGAGATCAGAAGTAGAGCAAATGGTGGGAGTAGAAAGATAATGGAAAAGTCGGGGAGATTAAGACAGGCAATGAGAGCGATGGCTTACTCTGTACAAAGACATGCAAAAACGCTCCAAATTGAGTACTAGATGAAAAAAAATAAACAATCAACCTTGGTTTATACATTTCAAGTGAACCTATTAACTCAGCACTTTGTCTGGGAGTTCAAGAGCATCCTACCTCATGAATCAATGCTTTTCACCGCTAGAGCACTGACTCCCAGGCAGGGTGGGGATGCTTTGTCTCCTAGCATGGAAAAGGCTGGCAACCAGGCTCCCGCTGAAACAGTGCCAGCTCAATTCACCTTGCAGGGGGACTACCAAGAGGACTGGGTTTCTCCCCCGCTTTTGGAAAACATTTCCAGGGCCAGATGAGTGGAGCTTTCTCACACATCTAGTGGCTCCCCAGAGTCACCTCTCATCCTTGCATTCCGTAACAGAAGTGAGCAGAGCCGCTTAATAATGGATTGATTTGTCATCTCGGTTGTGCATTACTTCAACATCACATTTGGCAACAGGCAGCCTTATAAAGTCTTGGTATAGCACTTAGATTCTCTCTCTGTTCAAGAAATATATTTTTATACTATCTACGTCTCTCCTTTTTGTTAAAATACCTTTTTCTGCTCTTCCTCTCCATCAAAGATCCTTTTTAAAAAGAAGCTTAAGAAAAGCATTAAAAAATCATTAGAAATGTCCTTACATATCCCTGTGATTTAAAGGGGAAAAGCTAATAGTAGCAGAAACCATGCAATTTTGGCAACTGAGTTTTAATTAAAGAGTCTATTAAAATGTTTGATAAATGACTGAGATATATATATACACACACACATATACTGGGGGAACTTAAAAAAAATCAAATCAACTGCTTTTTCTCTGACCCCAAGAATCCTTGCTCAAAGTGCTTTTCTTCCCAGTTATACTGGATAGTGAAATTATTTAGCACAAGTTGGCCAACATAGACCTGTTGTCTAGCTCTAAATTTGTTCTTTTCTCTCTTCCAAAAGTTCACATCAAAGATGACACCCATATGTGTCTTACTTGGTTGAGAAACATTTGAAAGGTGACTATTCGTAGTGGGGTCAAGGAGTTGTTGGATCTGCTGCCGGGGGCTTGGAAGGACGCATGGAGGCCCCTAGTCCTATAAGGAAGACATACAAATAGATCTCATATTTCTTTTAGTCACTGACTAGTTAATTTAGTCATTTAAGTAGCTCTATATACAAAAATAGCAGCCAGTACCTGCACATGATTTGGGCTTACGTGTTTTGGAATATAATGCTGAAAATGTGTACCATTTGTCCCCTCACCATTTGAGTTTGTGAAGTTCACTGCACTTGTACTTACCCAACTTCTCCCAAAGTGGGAATTACCATTTATGTACAGGGTAGTGCTTGTTTCAGTTTTAATGTCAAACTCCCTATGGCTCCTCCCACCCCGCAATGTCATTCATTCCAGTTTAACAAAATGAAGGTTAATTGGTCCTGTTACATACACTAAGGATGTGCAGGCTGTCTTTGTGAGATACTTGTGCACATTGAGACCATGGGTTAGATGCCAAAATGAGAAGAAACCCTTTCAACGATCATGCACAAGCAACTTGTTTACAATGTGCACTTTTTGAAGGTGGAGAAAAACATTTCTTACAGAATAGGGGGTAATCTAATCTGTTTCTACCACTGACTTGCAGGAAATGTTGCTCTAACTAGAGGGCCACTTCTAGCACTCCCAAAATGAACTGGCATGGGATCGCAATACTTAAGTTTCCAAAGACGTGAGAATGCTGTCCTAGCCAGCATTTCTCCACTGGCCCTTTATTTAAGAAGTCATCTTGTTACTGTCCACTTAATAACTGGAGAGAGCACCTAGAGGCAGCCTCGGGCTTACCAGGGATGCAGTTTCGGAGGGGTTTGTGTGTGTGTGTGTGTGTGTGTGTGTGTGTGTGTGTGTTGGGAGGGGAGAGGGAGAGGAAGACAGAGGAATGGGGTGGGTAAGAGAGATTGTGAATGTGTGTGTACATCAGGGAACTCAGTGGGAAAGCTTAGTCCTTGTACTCAATTTCCCCTTCACAAGGGATAAACAGGCAATTACGCATCCTTTTATATTTGATGGCCAAGTGCTGAACTGGAAAGCACACTATTAGTTTGTTTCCCTTCAGGGCCAGGGCAATAAGTAGCCAGGAGAGCTGGGGCTGAAGCAGAGAGGGTGTTGTCTGCTGTTAGTGTGACAGTCTTGTCAGCTGCGTTCACATTACTGGAAGGTAATAAAGTGACAAGTAAGTTATTAGAAAGATATGAGGTGAAATTGAACTGAAGCTTCTTGCTACTCAGCCCTGGCTTTTTCCTTTCCACTTTTGTAATGGCCCACTATTTGTTACAAACTGAGGCTTGTCTTGATACTCTATATAAAAGATTTTTTTTTTTTTTGCAGTAAAGGTCAAATGAATTTACAATACTTTAGAGGGGAAGAATAAAGATAGTTTTACGACAACTATAGTATGTTGCTTCAAAAATATATATAGCATTATAATGAACAATGCTGATTCGATTCAGTGTACTTCTAAAATTGCTTAGTTTTTTTTTAACCCATTATTAGGCATTTGGAGTTTTCAACAAATGCCACAAAGATGCTGTTTGATATCCAGTTACTGCCAAATGATCGTAAACATCAATTTTGTGCAAGATGTGGGCAGAATGAAGATGGAGGGACACAAAGGATGGGTGTTTGAACAAGAATGCTGATAGATTAAATTCACTGGTCAATTTTATAGCTCACGTTACATAATACTAACTGAAAAGGCCCATTCATGTTGAGCTGCTCTCTAACTAGAGGAAATAGGCGATTTGTCTGGGACAGATGTGGCCTAACATTAGCATGAGCAGAACTACCACACATGGTTTAGCTTGGAGGAAAAATACGAAAACAGAAAAGTTACTTTTATGCTTCATAGAAAAGTGAACGAACTTACATTCAGATTATGAATTCTTAGCCAAGGAGCACTGCAATCACAGCGACGGGGGCCATCAAAGTAATGATGGAGAAAGGAAACTGATCCAAGCTGGCTCCTGTTCATTCCACCCCACTCATCGTGATTCGGGGCTGTTGGATCACTGGCCGTTTCTCTAATCTAGGTGACTCAGGTTTTTTTGTTCTTTTTGCCATCTAAGGAACACCAGCTGTCCTCCACTCAAAAAGAAAACCCCACAACTTCCCTTGCTGCCTGGCTCTTGACCCATTTGTGCTTCAGCTATTCCATATGGCTGTCCTTATTTTCCTTGTCTTGCCTCAGACTGGGGTTCAGCGTCGCACCTGGTCCTGGGGAGCTCTGCAGGGCACTACATCCATACCTTCTCCCCCACTGCTAGGAAGACCTGCCCCAGACTTTGCTCTTGAACAAACACCTCCAGTGCATTAACTGTTTTCTTCTCTAGTTACCCCACACCGGGGCAGATACCAATCTTCTACATAGTATTCTTCAACCTGCCTTTGGAAAAATCTGATTCTGGCCAGTCTTTTGGCACTGGTCTGTTTTGCCTCTCTTGCTCATTTCAATCTTATTAATTAACAAACAAAGAATGAGAGGGAAAAGCAAGCTCCTCTAATTTAAATCCTCCAAGTTTGGGGGAACACAAGTGGTTTTTAAAAATTCGTCATCATTTTAAAAACTTCTTAAGGAACAGAGCGTCCATAGGATGAAAGAAAGTTCCTTCTGGGCTATTTATGTTAGCAGATATAGCATGTCTTATCACAATTGAATTTTATTTACTCTGCTAGTCAAGCTAACCTAACACTAACAGACCGAGTACAAGTTAGGGCTGCTAAGTTCCACTGTCAGTAGTCAGCAGCATGTCCGTTTGAGTCGCGTTACTGGCTTCTTTATGTTTCGATTGCTAAGGATCCCTGTTCTCATTTGCTTGGCACACACCTGGGGTGTGTACACAGGAAGGGGGAAAGAAGGTCAGATTTTATGTGGTGGGAGCCTAGTGCATGGTTTTCTCCTGAGTACAACGAGGAGAATGCATCTGGAACAGCCCAGTCTTGATATATTCAAATCTTTTTAGAGAAATGTATACCAACAGAACTGTTAACCAGTAAAGTGCCTTTCTCCTCTTATTGGAAGGGCCTGATTCTTGACCATGAAATCCCACTACACGGACAGTGGTACCAAGGTGCTAAAAATGCTTTCAAAAAAGATATTTGTCACTTTGAGAAGGGAAACATTAACACATTTAGAAGGCATCAGGTTGAGCCTAGTAGCTGAACTAAGATCTGAAATGCATTACATAGGATTGACTATTTCAATACAATAGCAGAGAAAAGAATGTCAAGTTTTTTCACATGTTAAAAATCCCATTATCTTTTTTAAATTTTCTCTTTGTCCTCCCTTTTAACATGTAGATATTCCCTAAGAGCAGACTAAACCTTTCTGGTATTTACAAAAACATAGCTTAAAATGATCAAAATAATAAGTTTCAGCATCAGCTAATGAACATGCTTATTAATAATCCTGCCTGATTTTGTACCTGTGACAGAAGAACTCTGGTTAAGATCAATCAAATGGGAAAATGCTGTTTGGATGAAAATCTGAATTTGTTTTTAGTCAGTACAGAATGGATGCAGCTACAGAGAAATTGTTTTACCATATGAAAAAATAAATGAGTAGAAATGGGCAAAGATGAATGGACTCAATGATTAAAAAGTTGATCTCTTTATCCTTTCCTTTTGCAAATAAGCCTTGGGATCACAGTCTTAACTAGATTTAGAGTTAAGTCAAAACACTGGATTCAGGCACACACCCAAAAACAAGCAACACTTTGGGACTAGAATTGTACATCTCATTATTTCACATTTTATGTACCACTTCCATTTACTCCCCTTACTTATTTTCAGCAAACAGGCTTTCTACTGGAAAAATGTGATTCACCATAAGGCCAAAAGTTTTGGGTACTAGAGGCACAAAGTAGTAACAAATAGGGAGATACTTTAAAGGGGTGTCCAGGACTCATCTGACATTTTTGTTTGTTAGTGTTTGACAATACACAGGTGAACATATTCACGTTTCTGAGCAAAGGAAATTCTACCTTGAGATTTTCATTACTTGTGGACTTGTTCTAACTGGCCGTACTCATTAACCTGGTTTGTGGCAAGTAACAGGCATTAGTTCTAACCCTGGATCATTTGCTGATGTGACCTGCTGACAGCTACGTATTTCACTCACGAGGGCTTTATGACCTTTAAGTTGATGTTAAGCTAAACAGACTAAACATTGATTTTGTAAAAGATGCATTCTAATCTCTCAACCAGGACTGTAACTTATAAAAACTAGCGAAATGAAGTGTGTTCTTTTCATAAAACCGTATGAAATTTAGTCTATGCACACTCCAATCATACAGTGTTTCCATGATCTTTTGTTGGGATCATAAAAACATTTTCTCACCTTTTTGAATCTAATCATTTGGTAATGGGGCAACAGCGCAATACAGAGAACGCTAAGAGGACCAAAATGTTTGCAAACAAACTTTCATTATTCTAGTTCAATCTTTCACAAACATACTGTACAGTCTTATATGGTATAAAACAATGGAAAACATCTCTGTCTATTCAATTTAACACAACACCAAAATAAAGCAATTAAGACTTTGGGGGATTCAAAGGTACAAGAAAACAAAAAAACGGTTATTACTAATTCCTCAGCTTTTTACCGTAAACATTTGTCACTTAACAGACATAGTGTTTAATATAGTTTCTTTTGTACTGCAAATACTTTTGGTCTTTCCTCACTGTAGAACAATGAAGAAGTAAATGGACCCCATGGCATCCTCTGAAGGAGATGAAAGATCAAAGCTCCTAGAATTCTCTAGCTTATCTTTAAGAATCTATTGTTTCTGAAATTTTCACAAATAAAAAATACTGAATCCTCCACTAATGATGCTTATTTTTGGAAACAATAAATACTGTGAGGTACAATAAATCCTACAGGAATAATAACAGAAACACATTAACAGTTTCCTTTGGCAAATTTAACGGAAGTGAATGCTGATGTGAACATAGAAAAATTATAAAACATGAAAAATGGAAACAACATAAAAATTAAACAAAAGGGTATTCCAAATTTTAGACTGACAAGAGAAATGTTTGAGGCCATTAAATGCAGAAAAGAAATACATTCTCTTTAAATTACTGTGTACTGTTTGACAAAATATTCCTTGTTTATCTCTCATTTTCTCCCCTCCATTTTAAAAAAAAAAAGGAAAAAAAAAAAAAAGAAAAAAGAAAAAAAGAAAAAAAAAAAAAGACAAGAAGATTCAGCCTGCGATGCACACCCTAATGGTTCTGGCTGCAGACTGAACTTGAGTAAATATCATCATTTAGTCAGTATGTTGTGGTAGCTGAGGCTGCCGATGTGGTTAACCAGCTCAGGCAACATGTGTAAACATCGGAAACAAAACAAAACAAAAAAGGTTTGGAGAATAGTCTCCCCCGCTTTCTCACTCTCAATTGCTTGGTTGCAGGCTTGCTTTCATTTCTCTCTGACAAATCCATGTGGGGAAACACAAAACACTAAACAGAGAGAGATCCTATTTTAAACTCCCCTTTTTCTAGCTTTTCAGAAAGGAGTGTTGCTCAATTCAAGTTCAGCACATGTTTTCAAAGATTCCAAGTACTGCTGCTGTTAAATGTCTTTTGATTTTTGTCTATCACACAGGCCTGAATCATGGCACGACTGCAGAACTTGCAACAAATTAACAGCCATACAACAGACCAACCCACTCTGGACCTTGTCTTCCTTGTTCAAGGATTAGGGTTAGGGCATGGAAATGAGTGTTCAACTCTTTTGCTGTATTCAACTTTGTTCCATAGTGAGTAATTTGGGCTTTTGTATCCTGAAATATTATCCTGCCTCTAAAGGATAAATGCCTTGGTTGTTTCACACCACATAATTTTGTTTTCCTTTTATGTGACTTAACATATAAGCAAGAAAGATGCAATGTTGATTCTAATAACACTTGGTACTTGAAAGAATCACCAAGTGCTTTTTTTTAAAGCGGTTTTCTGGTGGCTGACAAATTGGCCTGTGGTTATGTTGAGTGACTAATTGTATTTTCTTTTCTGGAAACTTGTGCAAAGTTGGCAGTTTTGTGTTAACACTAATACTTCTGTTTGGCATTTGTGCCCTATACTGACCAGACCATTTTTATACAAGTGAATTTTTTTTAAAAAGACACTTACTTGAAGTATGGCAATAGTTTAAGGATAAAAAAGAAGCATGGATATTACACATCCCCTTGTAGTGTATGAAAAAAAGTGCATGACTGGATTTATGTACTAGTACAGGACATTTAAAAAATCAGATCTGTGCTGTAAAGCATGCCAGCACCTCTTTATCACTATATCTAGCAGGTAGTAAAAACAAGACCATGTTTTAAAAAAAAAAAATGTGCATTAATGCTAACATAAATGAACAGAGCTAGCCAGCAAACTATTTTTTTTCTTCCTGCATATCTAACAGCTGGATGTAACTGTAAAACTTAAACAAAAGAGTTAAACAACCATCAATACAATTGTTTTACATCAGTGGCCTCTCAAGGCTAAATATTTACAGGTGAATCTGCCATGCTTTAATTGAAGATTCTCTCAAAAACCTTAAAGTTCACAAAAGACAACTATAAGAAGGTCCTTTTTGTTTCTTTTTTTTCCTTTTTTTCCCCTTTTGCTTTATTTATTTAATTTTTGCAGGCAACAGTCATGGGTACAACAAATTGTCTCTTTGGAGAGGACCAAGAATTAGCATTCTGTCAAAATTTGGGCTAGTCGCACGCTTTATGTGTGTGTGTATGTGTTTAAAGGGTACTTCGTTTTCATTCCAAAATTAAAGATCCTACCCCCTCCCAAAACTATAAAGGAAAAAGAAAAAAAATTTCAAAAGCACCTAGTGTTTCTCTTTTTATATCTAAAGAAAATCTGTGTGTGTGTATATATGTAGACACGGAGGCGTACATGTGTATACACACACACAAGCACACACCCCCAAGAACACAAGCACACACTGAGTATGGCAGTTCAAATATGTAGGCCATCTGGTGAGAGCTGGCATTTGTAGTGTCCGTTCTGAGACTAATCTACTGAAGTGAAGGGAATGTTTTTGTGGAGATTAGGGTTCTGACTGTGCCGATTTCGGCTTCGCACAGAGGAAAACATCATATTGCAACCGGGGACTTTGCACTTGTGCATTTCTCGTAAATGCACAGTTTTGTAGTGCACTCTCAAGGTCCCCTTGTTGCTGTACATTTTGTGGCAAATGTTGCACATGATCCCACCATTGCTCCCGGACAAGCTGTTGAACATCAGAGATCCTGAAACTTCAGCCCCTAGGCTGCCAGGGAGGGCAGGGGCCTCGGCCTTGTGTGCCGACTCCCCACTGTCACTCGCCCCATCAATGTCATCGAGAAGAATCCCCTCGTCGCTGCCTGCATCGGATTCTCTGGAGGAATGGATGCTGCTGCTGGACTGGAGGCTGGAGGTGGTGCTCAGGTCAAGGACCATGTAGTCCTCCGCCATGCCTCTGCCATACCCGTTCAGGTGGGAGTCTTCTGTCCCCGCGGGGGAGGAGGCGTCTTCCCTGACATCGAGCCCCATGGGGTGCTGGGCACCATAGATCTTCATCAAAAATTCATCCCGGAGGTCCTTGCTAAGGGAGGGCTGCGATGAGTCCAGGCCCATGTCATCGAGTTCTTTGGTCAACAGTTTACGATGCAGATTTATGTTGGCACTGTGTCTAGGAAAACAAGAGGGAAGGGGGTGGGGGGTAGGTACACAGGGAGCAGGGAGGGGTGAGAAAAAGGAGAGCATTTTAAAATTGATTCAGCTTTCTCGAGGCATCAAATAAGCACATTCATTGCTAATTACACCATTATAAAAGCAAACATTTCCCCACATCCTCAGGATTTGGGAATAAGTGGTGGTGGGGAGTATAATAAGGGCAGCTTTTCATTAACATAATTTTTATAAGAGAGTAAAATTCTTCAATGACGGGATGAATGCAAACCCATGCATGTTTTTCTCAATGATTGTTTTGTTCGTTTTACTCTGTAGCCGCATCAGCTGCAGAGAATCTCATAGAGGAGATTTGAGAATATATATTAGCGAGAATAATACAATGGAAATTTTCTGCTTGTCTAAATTGAGTAATTACAATTTACCTCAGAACAAAAAAACCCGTTTTGCTAAAGCAAACACTTTATTTAATGATAAGATCCATTTTTTTTTAAAAAGTCAATGGTCTAGATAATTTAGGTTTAACTTCAAAAAATAATGAAATCATCCCCCTCACTTTCTACACCTCAAAGTTTCAGCTAGAAAAAAATGTAGCTTAATAGACCAACAATTTGAAGCAGGGTTACACATTGTCTTTAACATAAATTCATTTTCTCAGAGTGATTTGGGATCTTAACTAAATCTAATAGGAAACTACATTTATTTTTAGAAGTTGCTACAATTGAGAGTAGGAAATGTTTTTCATCAAGTAATTAAACTTTATAATTTTAATTCTTTAAAACAAACACTGAAAAACAAGTTGTTTTTAAAATTAAAACCCACCCACCATTTAAAAAAAACATCACACTGGACAACAGAAAAAATGCAAGGGGCTCCCTCCTCCCCACAAAAAAACCAAACCCACACAGTAAGCACAAAAAAAAAATTGAGTACATAATAACATACAGACCCTGGAATGTACAACTGGAATCCATACTTCTTAGACAAGCAAAACTTACTCTTTTCACCGAGTGCTTTGCTTGTGTAAAAAAAGAGATAGGATTTGTCCCAGAGCATCCATAGGGACAGTATGATTTACAAAGCCTGATATGTTATCTGTCTGAAAACATTGCCTTTGTATTTACATCCCCCATTTACTTTTAAAGTGCCCTTGGGCATATACCTCTCTCCACTGGCAAATGCTCACATATTTGACAAGCACCTAAATTGAAGGTTACCCTTCCCCAAAATAAACTAATGAATAAATATGCAGATCCATAAAAGCTTCTCAGTAATGGTGGAAGTGCCACAACTCAGAGAAGTAATTGTAATATTAGAAATGACCTAGCATGACCAGTAAAATATTCCACAGATCTCTTGATTATAATTAAAAAGTACAGAAATGAGTCACTCCATTTGGTGACAAGCATGGCTAGTATTTTCTAGAGATGGGGGAGAGGTATGTGCCTTAGAGACGAGAAAGGTGGGAAAGTTTTCCCCACCTTTCTATACAAGACAATATATAGCACTCCAGGTCTTAGGGGGTAGAGGGGCGGCAGCCCTCTCCACACTGCACTTAGGAAGGCTGAGCTTACCTTGTGATAATAAGATCAGCTTTCTAATCTTTTGCTAAATCGATCACAAAAGAAAGCAAGAATGAGAGACAGAGAGAGAGAGAAAGAGAGAGAGAGAGAGAGAGAGAGAAAACAAATTCACATTCTAGACATCTGGTTTAAAAAAAAACAAACAATAAAATAGGGATTTAAAATTTTCTGATCACACAATCATTTTCTGTCATAAGCGATCATCTCATAGACTGTCTTGATGATTTTCAGATCAGCTGCATAATCCAAAAATCATAAATCAAATTACGATAAACCAAATTCACAACATCATCATCATCCATAAATGAGTTCTACACAGATGCATGCAGTGTGCAGATATGTGAATGATAAACAGAAGTTGTCCCCACGGTCTCTGCTCTGACACAGTGGCTTCCGTTTCTTTGGTGTCAGATGGCAGATGATCCAAGTGCAGGATGTTAAGCAGAGTGCAGGAAATGCCTACTGCGAAGTCTTTACCCTGACATGTGGGCATGATACCAGAGTTATTGCAAGAATGTGGAAATAGAGCTACACTCTGTACTATTACTCTATTGATAAAACAATCTGCCAGCCATAAACAACTCACAAAATCCTACCCCCCGTTTATTATTTTTAACACTCTTCTCCCCTTTCTTAATTTCACAAGCATACATTTTGTGATGACTGTAATCTAGAACTCTGTGTTGCTTCTCACACATCTGTAGTTACCGCTTCCTAGATTCACTGCTGAGAAAACAGCAGCCAGACACACAGCAGTCACATCAAGACACACTGAATAGGGAAGAATAAATTAACATTGACAAAAGGACACACTGATCGCCCAGATGGACGCATCTTTCCTATGATGACTTGTGAAATGACACATCTCTACCGATATGTTACCAGGAAGAGATGTTTCTCTTCATTTCTCACTTACAGCAATAGAAATCTGTAATCTAATTAGATGATGTACCAGCCCTCAATATCTGTCAACCAAACGATGTGCAGAAATGTGTAGACCAGCTCTGGCACTCTGTTCAACAGTGTCCCTTTTCCGCTGTCAGCAGTACTGTTGGCCTCTGCTAATATAATTACATTGACTTTTATTCAATTAAGTGCCATCCCTCACTTTAAAAAAAAAAGCTACTTTATCAATTGATTCAGGTGTAATGCAATAATAAAGATGAACTCATGGCAGTGCATTAGCTCTGCTGTTCATAACTTTAGTACACGGGTTCATTCATGGTAGTCGATTTCCATTATGCAACCACAGTTCAAGAGAATTGATTCTTTTATGTTCATTTTTTAATATATTTCATTTTTGTTTAATAATACTCCTAAATGCCATATGCAAAACACTTGAAGTAGGGATGGGAAGAAATGAGTATGGAAATTCTGCTGTTCACTTTCATGATGGTGGGCTTAGCGATTTTCTAAGAAACTTGCATAGTATTACTGGGCTGAAGTGGAAAAGCAAGAGAGGGAAGCAAAGAAGACTGAAGTTCTTTACAGTGAGTACTTAATGATCCTATCACTCAGGAGGTTAGGGTTCAGACCCCACAGAATGGACAAAAGGCAACATTTGATTTTAACCATGACATACTGTCAGACACTGGATGAGTCAGTGTGAACCATTAACTGTCATAAAACACTGTCCTCATGAAGAGACTGAGAGATCTAGGGTTAATTATAATTTACAATTTTATTTGGATCAGCAAAACTGAGGCAGTGAGAATAAAGGAAAGATAGACTGAATACAGAAAGAATTCACAACTACTGACTGTAACATGCAAAGGGATGGTGGTCCTAAAATGGGAGGAAAACCAGAGAGTACTGAAAATGGGCGGGCTCCCTTAGTGAGAAAGCAACATGTAGTTGCACATAATAAATGGAAGGAGAAGTTCAAGAAGGAACCAATTGAGTTTTCCAGAGATAAAGCCTAGAAAATTCACTTAGTGTCTCAATATCTGTTTTTGGAGTAGAATCATTAACAAAAATCTAGACTGTAATAAAACTGATTATATTTTACATAAACAAACACTATGAAGGCTGATTCTACTTGCTTTGGTTAGGGAGGGAATTCTGATAGGTAAAGGCAAAATTCCTCTTACAGTAAAAAAAAAAAAAAAAAGAACGTGATGGAGAGAAAAGATAAGTTCATGAGTAGGAGAGGTAAGCATCTGTTCTTAACTAGGATCTAGTCTAGGATCTAGTCTTAATGAGTACAGTAGTGGTCCAAAATTTAACCCCAAGATGGCTGCTTTCAAGAAGAACACAACTAGGGACTCCCCTGGTGACGCAGTGGTTGAGTGCTGGGCTGCGAAGCTGCCCGCAGCCTCTGCAGCGCTGGTTCGATCCCTGGCAAGGGTCCCACATGGCGTGCAGACCTCTCCTGCCACGCCCGCTGCTCCCCTCAGCAGTGTACTTTGTCCGTCTACCTGCTCTGCTCCCTGCTCTGGCTCTGGTGAATTCTCTCACCCTCCCGCGCTTCTGACTGTACCCAGTGCTTGTATAAACAAACAAACAAACAAACAAACAAATCTTCAATTAAAAAAAACCCCAAAAAAGAATATAACTAATGGTTTCCGTGGGAGCGCTGCAATCTTTCCTACTCCTTCCATACTATGAGTTTACTAAAAGTCTCTTGAAGACTAAGATCATCAAAAGCAAAATGTAACAGGGCCTTATACAGGGGATGTCATAAAACCAAACTCATTCTTCATAATACTGAATTCAAGTACTCTAAGAGGACTACCAGTCTTTTCTGTTTAATGAAAATTTTACTCATGTCAATTATACCTCAATTTTTTTTAAAAAAGAAAGAAAATGCTGTTGTGCCACTTTACCAGAGAAGACACAAAATTAATCCAACAGTTAAAATTAAATTTAAGTGCCATTTAGAGAAAGCCAGTCCTGTCTTGGGTTTTTTCCTTTCCTACCTGTTCAAATGCCCAGTTTGACTTCATACAATGTTTAACCTATAAAAATGAAATGAAAAACATTGAAAAGAAAAAAGTGTTTTGAAGTTTTAACTTTGGCTTTTAGATACAGGGAAGAATTCTATTTTTGAAAGAAAATATCCCATTAACAAATTACAAAATAAAAATGTGGCAGCAAACGAACAGTGAACCTAGAGGTACATGAGAATACCAACATCTAACTCTTAACTCTTCAGTTTTGAGTCATTCTAAACCAAGGAAATTGAGGTTTGTTTTAAATTAGTTATTGCCTTTATTTTTCTGCTCACCTCTGCTATTCCACACAACACACACACACACCCACACACCCACACACACACACCTCTCTACCTCAAATTGTATTATCCAAAATGATCAGTGATATATACATAGCAGATTTTATGAAATTATATATTGATATATGTATACTGTGTGTGTGTGTCTGCACATATATGGGGATAGAGAAACAAAATTATATCCAG